ATATATTATAATATAATATATAGAGCACCTTATCAAAAATGGAACCAGAGAACAGTTTATCGTAACAAAAACCGTAACGATTCGAATCAGGTTAATCACTCTTGTGCTAAGGTGATAATCTGTATTTATATTTCACTAGATATTACGAAACTGGCTCAATAAAACCAGGTGTGATAGGAGGAAGCAAACCCAAAGTTGCGACGCCCAAGGTAGTTAGCACCATAGCATCGTACAAGCGCCAGAATCCGACAATGTTCGCCTGGGAGATCCGAGACAGACTGCTAGCAGAGGGAGTTTGTGAGAAAGAAAATGTACCTAGTGTTAGCTCGATAAATAGGTAAGATTTCTTGACATTTCTTTCACATTGAAGAGTAACACTCTATGCTCAAGTGATAGCTAATGCGGTTGTCTCTAGCAGTATGGCATCACTGTATTACATTATGGGTCTATTATTATTTTTATCTGTAAGATGACATTTCCAATTATAACTAGGCTGTTTTGCTTTCCAGACAAATCCAATTAGAATTCAATTTAGGTTTCTTAACGACCTGGGATGCTTTGTATTTTTATCATTTTAAAAATATTGTGCATCAATAAAGACAATCAAACAATACACTGAAATAATTAGAATGTCATATAGATGTCTAACACGCACGTGAACTGATATGAAAACGTACTGTAATATCTATTCGAACCTTGAAGAAACGATATCGTTGGAAGTAATCGATGATTAAGATTTGTTGATTAATTCAATATAATAATAACAATAATAATAATAATAATAATAATAATAATAATAATAATAATAATAATAATAATAATAATAATAGTAATAATAATAATAATAATAATAATAATAATAATTATTATTATTATTATTACTACTATTATTATTATTATTATTATTATTATTATTATTATTATTATTATTTCACGTATAAGTAAACACAGGCTACCACCTCTATACTGCTACCATTAAGCATTCAATGATCACCATAGGAACAATCATTGCGTATAGAGGGAATACTTTTGAGTTTTCCGCCTGATAATTTAAAGAGAGATCCGTCTATACCCTACAGTATAGAAAATGCTTTATATTTACACTAAATATATTGAACGGCTCATTTAAAATGATCAAATGTTGTCAGGATTTCCAATGGCAATCAGAATAAAACAAACAACTTTTCGATGATTTTGCAGACGTTTTACTAAAAAATACATTAACAACTAAAGGTCTATACAATGGAACATTGAGGAATATCTTGGCGAGGAACTTGTTTTCTTGCTCTAATTTAAGTTAAAGCTAACAAATTACTTCAATATACCAATTAAATAATCCAAGTGTTAATATTTTCCTAGTTGTATGAGAGCCCGGGCAGAATAATTGAACCGTTAGACAACGACTTTTAATGTAAAATGTCTCTATATATTGTATATTTGCTACTTGAGAGCACAACGAGAGCGCGTGCACCGCTTCTTAAAAAGTATTGTCCAAATAAAGTACAGTAATTAATTTATCCTTAAAAATATTTATTGTTCAATTTTTCTTATTAAATTCAATTCAAACATTTGTGTCTGGAAACAAAGTATAGTACAATAGAGTAATATTAACTGATATTAAAGACGTCCAAGTGATGTCTGTCGTAAAATGCATGCAATTATTGTTTTAAGGTTTATTATCCCGGGAGAGTTGTTGTAATTACCATTACTGGATATATAATCATAAAGTTTGCTTCCAGCACTTATTAATGACGCGAACTACGAAGATGCTGAAACAGTTGTTTTGATCTATTTGACCGACAACACAAATTTTGAAAGAAGGTGACAAGGTAAAAGATCACGATTTCGTATTTTTGACCAGAGCAGGGGATGTCTTAATTTGACGCTTCCTCTTTCTAACATGTGCCAATTCTTCTCGTTACTTTAGAATTGTTCGAAATAAAATCGGTGATAAAGGAATGAAAGGTGATACGGTAACAGAAGGAATGACGTCACTTTCTACATCCTCGTCCACGAATTCTGTTATAACATCTACAGATGTACCAGTAACGACCGGCTCGTCGTACTCTATAGCCGGTATTTTGGGCAAGGCTAAGCAAGGTTACGATGGTAAGGGCACTTCAAAACAAAAACTGTGTTTATCAATGTGTATGTGTGTATCATATAGGGCCTAGGCTTGTATGCCATTTGAAGAATCGTCTGCATAAAGATGTTTTTGTAAAACGAATTATATTATAATTATAATTTTCTGTGTCATTTGTTTACGTTGCCGCAAGAGGTGGGGTTTAGGAAACTTTTCCGTCATCTTCACCTTTCGCAGCCCCAAACATGCTGCTCAAAAAAATGTTGTACTTATAGGCCTATTTTTTGGTGTAGGCCATAATGAACATGAAGATACGATTGGATGGAATTATCTAGGCCTATTTATAACCACCGAGAAACGACACACCTGCATGCATGCCTCGCAAACTGGTATTAAATTGCACACGTTTGGTAAACCCTATTTTTGACATGAGTGTTAGAAACATCAAACATGACAGATATTTTAAATCTGTTAACACTGCTGATAAAATCTTTTAAATGCGTGACAAATTTGTAAAAATGTTATCGCAATATCTATTCGCTCATCCCCACAACACAGAGTAACGCGTTTATGTCGAGAGCTCACGCAGTATCAACGCGGATAGACCATACTATTATAACAGTAACAGGTTTGACGAGTTACATAAAATATAATTTTTCATCTGATAATTTAACCAAGATGCAAACGAAATAATTGCTAAACAGTTCCATAGCAAAACAAATTTTGCCATGGTGTCAGCACTTGTTGTGTTTCCGCTGCAATAGAACTTTTCCGGGTGAAATAATTATACATGGATAAGGTTTAATGGTACTAAAATAGATATTGAGGTTAAACAAGCGCGTACTTTATAGAATACGAAATATTTATGTCGTCACTTTACGAGCGATCAAGTAAATAACACAAAGTGCCTTCTGCCTGAAGTCATGTTTAGTATTCATTGGTTGTAGTTAGTCTACTCCATATTACTCTGTCAAACATCGTTCTGCATAATCAACCCTCTCAACTAAAGCAACTCAAAAATTAATTTCTCAAAATGCAGTTGTAGCTGTATTTAATCAGTGGCCCATAATTCAATATCTTTTGAAGGAATTACTTTATTCAATCTGAAAATTGGATTGTGAATTGACATATCTTACGTTAATCATTTTCGTTTATAAAAACATTACGGAATGTTGAATTACAGCAAACATTTAGACGCGCGAATTGGAAATAATAACGAATTTAAGTACCAATTATCTGATCATAAATACAGTCCTTTATATATTAATTATCAGATCACTTGTGTCATTAAAGAATTGATATTTATTACCTAATCCGAACCATTAAAATCCCATTTTCTTTACGCATTGTTAAGTAATAATAAATATTTGAGCATTAGGCCTATATTAAATTGCAAATTGAAATAGAAATAGAAGGTTAAATTATTGACACAAATTAATGAAAGGTTTGTATTCTGTTGCACGCAAATATTTAAATATTAAAAAAATACTTTTACACAAAACTATAATAAACTGATGGTTAAGATGCTTGCCTCTGAAATATTAACTAAATCGAACCAATTTGTTCTGTTGCTTAAATGCAACAGTAATTTTAAGATAACAGATATTTAGATAGCTCCTTCTATATTTAATGATTTAGGTTTGAACGTTAACAATGATGACAGAAGCTACATATAGGCTATAAGCTATATATAGGGGCAATATGTATACATACACATACGTATATACATATATACTTATATATATATATATATCAAATATATATATATTATATATTATATATATTATACATATATTATATATATATTATATACCGGTATATAATATATTATATATATTCTATACATATATATTTATATGTTTATATACTGTATATTATATATATACACTGTATATATATAAGAGACAGTATATATAGAAGCAGATACAAAGGTAAAACAATTGCATATGTTATTGACAATGTAATTTGTAATTTTTGCTTTAAATGCTATAGATGAGTAATTATTTCAAAAGTTAAATACACGCTAAATTTTTCGAAATTATATAAATACGTACGTCACTTATAATTGTCATGTTGTTGTCTTATCGAATTCTCATATAACGTTTTGAATATCATTTTGTCCATTAACGAATCTCTCTGTGCATCTTAGTCGAATATTGGCAGAGACAGATGTTGATGCATACATACCGTTATTAAATATTATTTTTTTTGAATTGCGATGCTATTATTTCATCTTGTTATTATGGCATATGCGCGACTGTCTGTTTTTAAAATCAATTACGTTTAACGAGCTTCAGTTCAGAACTTCGTTTTGTAATTACGTAGATTATGTTGAAATTAGAATTTTGCCCCTTACTTTCTCTATCATCACCTATCGGTGCAAACCATAGGCGACTACACACTTGGAGCTTATTAAGCTAGTGACTCCCTCATGAAAAACCAGCCTGTCTTCGGCGGGTCTGCGCTAACGAGTTTAATACAGACATGTGCAATTTGGAATTTTCCAATATTGTGCCTTAAATGTGTTTAGGATAGCAGCAAGATTCTTTATGAGTCCATTGGGATTTGATTATGACAAGCGAGCGCATAACTCATTGGGTCGTTCTTGCTGACTGCGTTCGAATGCGTCCCAAGTCGAGTTGAGTTTCTGAGGCAGATGAATTCTGTGGAATATTAATAAAGCTATCGCGATGAGCCCGTGCTCGCTCGGCTGGGCATAGGGTGGCAAAAGCCAACGATGTTCAATTTACGAGTAGCGAGAATTCTATCAAAATTAATGGTTAATACATGACGTAAAAACGAGCAAAATAAACAGTGAGTGAACGATCGAAAAACAGGTCTATAATATACTAATATACGAGACTTAAAGTAAACAATTCTTGTTGTATGTATGTAACGCAACATAAAATATCTAAAATACTAGTAAACAAAGGAGTTGAAATAAACACAATAAACAACATAAATATAAATTTAGTTATGATACGAAACACTCCAACAGACGTCAAGACAACACACGCAATAAAAAGTCCGTTTTGATAACATCCGTGCGAAACACAGTTACCAGCTTATACCGAGCTCAAAACACAGTTGTCATTCAAAATGTATTTTTTTTTTAAATAAACGACCTATGACATTTTATAACTGCGATTCGATGTGCATTTGTTTCACATTTAGATAATTTCGTTCGATAATTATTAATAAGATGAGGTGGTCTATAGTCTGTATTGAAGCATAAATTGACTGAAAGATAGATAACAAATAGAGCAACAACAAACATAGGCCTATTAATAATAGGCCTAATAATAGTAATAATAATATTATTTATAGTAATAATAATTATACTTATACAAATTATTATTATCATTAATTAGTGCCTAATTAGGCTTCTTGATATTATCATATAATAATTATTATTATTATTATTATGCCAATTATTATATTACTATTATATAATTTATTTGTGAATGTTTTCACTCAAAGTTAATAGTAATTTCCAGTTTGTGATTCAAGTACTATCTAACATTAGGCCTAATATAATATATTATTATCATTATTGTTACTTATAATATTGTTATTAGTACTATTATTATAGTATTATGTGAATTATTATTATTTAATTATTATTAGGCCTATCTCAGTTATTATTATAATTATGATTATAATAATAATAATCATTATTACTATTATTACTATTATTATTTATTTGGTATTATTTGATTTTTGTTGTCAGGTTGTTGCTGTTAGGGCTAAGTAGAAAGACTTCATAAATGATAAGAAAAAATAAATTTTACTTTCTATAGAAACATTTTATAATACAAATATGTTTATTTAGACTGTATATATATATATATATATATATATATATGTATATATATATATATATAATTACAAAAAAATTCTTAAAGAAATAATAGTCGAAACTTGGTATAACATATTATACAGCCATGGTCGAAAAAAGAAATTATATTGATATATTTTAATGTGTATCACAGTGGAAACCAAAATAGGTGTATTCACAGCGTATTTCAATAATAATTACTATATGGACGATGTAATATGAAACATAACTTTATCAAAAACATTTATAAATGAAAGACAAGCTATTTGCTGACAAAGAAGCGAAGAACAAAACGATTGTGAAATTGAATGGGGTGTTGAGGAATACTGTGTCTTAAGGAATATGAAATATTAATCGAGACCCATTCGAACGCGATTAAGAGCTATTTATCAAAAAATCTACCGAGTTTATCTATCAATAATTAATCACTACGGCTGTATTGATATGAATACATAATGCTTGTGAAACTCAATTCCCGTCGTTGAGGATTAGTTAAGACACAGGGTGTGAGATTTTGTGATCTTTAATAGAAACATTATCGTGCCTGTGAGGTGTAAATCACGAGGAAATTGCATAAATCGACGCTTGATCGCCGCGGAGATGTTCCCAGATAATGTACGTCCAATGTCCTATCTGTTTGTCATTAAGTTTCATATGAAAAAGTAGAGTAAATAACGAGATACAGCGTTCCGCTTAATTGGGCAAGTTCTCGCGTAAAATCCCGCGAGAGTTTGCAAGGTATTACTCTAAGGGTGACATGAACGTTATTAGCCAAACAAATGAAGCGCAGAGAGTAATCCTGACAGGTTCGACTTGAAAGATTTTTTTACACTGAACTAGGACGAGCTAATTATTCATATCGCTGATACTCGATATTTACAAAATACAAAAACACACAAAAAAAAAAATAGCGAAATGATTCGAAGATGTTGAGGCCAAATACGATTCGATAACAGCGTATGAATCATGGTGTTCTGCTGTCAACGTTTCTTTGTTAAAGAAGTTGATTGCATACGTAATGAGTTCTTAGATCAGATCCGCAAAAATAATAATTTGTTTTAAAGAGAATACTGTTGAAAAAAAATTAACGAATTATCATAATTGCCAAGACATGTCGATAAAAAAATAATTATACGAATCTATATATAGATGAGAAATTGTTTTCCTTTTATATTTTATAAGCTACTATGAACTAACTATTATTGTTGTCATTCTTTGTTATTGTAAATTAGGTTCCAGTATGGAGGAAATAAATGTCCTCCATGGTTTCCAGGGCTAGCTGAGACAAGTTTACTTCTAGGCTAGTCCTCATCGAAGCCCTGTTTTATATTGTAAATATTTGGCTTTTGGATGAAATAAATATTTTGTTGAATGGAATTGAACATTATAGATCTAAATTAACATTTAAAATTTATCTCAATGAAACTTTTTAAAAATAATAAAAATAGTAAGTACTATAATAGCCTGTTACTCGAATATGTTACTGTTCCCATAAACCATTGCAACATCGCTCGCAATTTCCATGGGCTTAACAATATGGAATTTTGGCGCCAAGATCACGTAGAAGTTTGACGCTTAACTTAATAAGATTTAAGTGTGTTGATTGGATATTAATTTTATATTAGCATTCAGATCAATAATTATCTTACATTTTTTCATCGACAGTTAAAATAATGCTGGTATTATAATAATATTTTCGTTGGTATATTAAACAGATAGGCTTATACAAAATGAAATAAGTAAACAAGTAACCAAGTGCTAAAATATTATACGCACACACACACACACACACACCTGTCTCTTATACACATCTAGATGTGTATAAGAGACAGTATATATTTATTTATTTATTTAGTAGGCCTGTCTAAAATATCAGTTTGTTTTGTATCACATATATAATAAGTCAAAAGAGGCCTAACGGTTGATTATTACTTGAGTAACAAGTGCTAGTTATATGATTATACAGATACTTACTATTAAATGTGAACTTGAATTTTCTGAGTACATTAAATAGGCCTAATTCTTCTAACTTTTTACTCAATCTCAGACTCGGGGTAAATTACCTTCACCTTCAATTGCCGACATTCAACCCAAACAAAAAAGAGCCCCTACAGAGATAAGTAACCAAGGTTTACTTAAAACACGATTCAATGTTACAAGTTCTAGGTTTGCGGTAAGCCCTACAACAAACATGAGTACAACAGCACACAGAGACAAGTAGGTGTTTTGAGGATCAAAGTTGATTACAACAAACGGGGCATCGCCCACTTAATGACCTTAAACATTAGAGTTACTAGGGATATAACTTGTATTTTTATTGTATCAATTACCAGTAGATATCATTGCTTGAAAGTGTATGTAGACCCGCGAGTGTACGACGTCACTGAAAGCGTAATATGGTGCGCGTCTAATAAGAATACGCTTTTCATGGCCAATCACAAAATGGATCGGAGAGATACTTATATTTACAACTTGCAATGAAGAACTAGATATCATAACACAATATACAATATTAAACATTATAGGATTTCCAATTTCAACCTAAAAATTGATTCTGTATTCGATTTGGTCACCAAGCGTCGCAACCATTTCTCGCGGGTTTTGGAACATGATGTTATAGCAGTGAAGCGGAAAGAGCAACTAAACATTCATATACTTTTATAATCATTACCGACATCTTCATAAATTGTTCGTCGATATGATTTTCCTTGATCATTCGTGCAGAGTTTGTTGGCTTATAATACTGTGTATGTCCCTCGTCCAATGCAAGAAACAAGTAATATTGTCGCACCAAACGTATGGGCAAGATAATGGACGATTAAGTAAGTCAGAAAGCTGTATAGAACAAAGTAGGCTGGCTTAGTGTACTGCTTTTAAATGATCAATTCGATTACGATGACCAAACTATGGGCGTTTTAGCGTAGTTTTCTCAAGGAAGCGACCATGGCCCAACTAACCGGCTATTCATCTGTGGTTTTATTTCAAAAAGGATGAATTTAATGTGAATTCTACTGAATGGAATTAAAATATAATGCCTGTTGTATTCTCTTATCAGATTTTATTTGTAAACGCTAAACAGCCAGTGTTAAAAGTAACAAAATAGTCAACTATTTATTATTCTACAGGCGACAGTCGTCTGGCTTGCGAATTCGGATAGCGCCTCCCGAAAACGCGCCTTCGATACTCGCATATTTCCTGCGGCCCTTAACTTTTCGTCGTGCGTCCATATCAGAAACCTTTCCCAAGATCGTAATAAAGAGATCTTCGTCAGTCGAAAACATTAATTAATAGTGAGGTCTAGAATGTTACCAAAGTAACTAACACCGTGAGAAGAGACCTATTGCGCACCTCTCCACGATCTTATTCGTTGGTGTTTTAGTGAACTTGAGCTTGCTGTTAATTGAGGGAATATATTTTGACAAATATACCGACATTGGATATTCTGAAATGTCAATATCGACGAATATTTTCAAATGCCACGGTTTCATTTTGGGAATCAACATGAATGCACAATAGGTGACTCGATGTAAGCGAGATTGACATTTAATTGTTTGCTCGAATTTCTTTCCTCTCCAAACTAATACTAATATTACATACGAATAGACAGACGGCGCTGTACTACTTGAAAATTTAATAACCCAAAAGAAATTTATCATTAATTTAAAAAAATACGTATGATTTACTAAACAAAAAAAAAATGTTTTAATCAATCTTTCACTAAGTCTACAAATGGTATCAGAAACATAGACCTATTTTTCATCACGCCCGCAACGGTCAACTTTTTCAGACCTGCTTTTGCATATTTTCAATCGATACGCGTGTACATTATTTTAAACGCGTTTGGTATTTGATACTTCGAAACTTAAAGAATAAGCGAACTTATAAAATGCTCAATACAGTACAGTACAGTACAGACAGTATTCTAATGTTTATATTATAAGACTCTAAGTTTGTGAAGCATAATAAGTAACATGTTCAAGATTGTGTTCTAAGCCATAATAATGAATAAGCCTATTGCTTCGTCTGTAACTCTAATTCATTTGAAATATCTTAAGTCATTTTCTTAATTTTGAAATCAAAGGCAAATTACATTCTAGGACAACTGTGATCCAAAAAATAAAATAAAATAAAATAAATAAAAACCGAAAGGAAGCAGTTAGGATAAAGGGAGGGACGGCACCTGTGGAAGGTGGATGGCGCAGTGCCTCTGCCGGGGAGACATGATACTTACATGTTTGGGGTTAACAAAGTCACTTTATATTTATTTTGTTATAGTAGGCCTACTTCTTTGTATCAGCGGCATGCACAAACTGAAATGCTGCGTTCCACTTACCTACAGTATGTTACCCCGCTACTGCCATTGTATTGTACGAACAAAATTTGCATATGCACTAATCTTGCCGTGTGTTGCTCGTGTAGTGACAACTCCTCTTTCAATATTTTGTAGGCTTGTGTTAGTGTAAAATTATTATTTAACGATATTTTAAACGAGATAGATATGAATATGAAATTTTCTTTATGATAAGAGGCCTAAAGGGATTATTTCTTACAGACTTGTGTAGGTGATTTGCGGTAAACCACAAACATGTTTTTGCCTTACTCAAATTAGTAGGCCTATATGTTTCAGAAGGCTGACGTAATTTGAACGGTATTACTTCATATGAATTTTGGAATGTTGGTTCCTTGTTTGTAATTTGTGCAAAACAATCTTTAAAATTTAATAATTCGTTCATCCTGATAACATTTTCTGAAACCCGATTATCTTGCAGGTTGTGGCGATAGAGGGCCAGCACATCACCATGTAAATGGCAAAATAGTTGATTCCGAAGAAACGTGTAAAATGATTGCAAATCGAAGCGCGTTCACATCAGAGCAAATCAAAGCGTTCGAACGAGGAACACATTTTCCATCAGACTATTATGTTCGAGATGAGTCCGGCAAGATTGAGATGAGTGACTCAAGGACGCAGGTCAGCAATTATTCTATAT